TGTACTTCTTTTACCCACTGTATCCTTTCAAACATAAAATAAAAATAAAATATGCAACCAATTCCATCAATTCTATTTCCATTTATCTTAACTGTCAAATACACATGTTCCTGTCCTACCATAAAGCATAACCCCAATACCTTTTTTCCTACCCCCAAATACGTGTACCCCCACACATAATTCAGATTGTGGCACGCTTCGCCTTCACTCTACTTGCACCATTTCGTGTCATAATCCAAACATAGCCTACTTATCGACGCCATGCGATTACTTAGTCATCGATTAGCTGACGGCTGGCGGCAGGCAGCTTTCACCGATGGCTGTTGCCACTGCCATCATTCATGCCACGCAACGTTGCCGCATTTCACTTGTTGTTGCTACTGACACATGGCTCGTGCTTTTCTTTTGGATGGTTGTCCAGAGGGTGGTTGGGTTTGCACGTGGAGCAGCAGGTGCTGCAGTGTCATTAGCCTCCACTTTTGACACTGGATGTAATCGACAAAAAAGAAAAACAAAAGTGAAACGTAAACAACAACAAATACCGAGTAAATACAGTGAAAGCTGCCATGAGTGCACAATGCTTTTGTCTAAGGTAGTTTTCAGTTACTGCTGGAGCAGGCGTACAACTAGGGATTTCGACATTCATTACCTCCTGGAGAATCGGTTAATGTTTGCCTTGTTCCGAATATGTTCAGATATCGATTTCTGTATTGAGGGTACCAGCGTTTTATTCCCGCACGTCATGCAGCAGCGGCCCTCGGCCAGCTGGTTTCATGTGTTTCTTTTCTGCAGTTCCATTTTTCCTTATTAATTCCACTGTATTCCTGCGATCGCTTTTATTACACATGTCACGCGTCATCCAGCATCGCCTCTCGGTCGGTTCGACTGCGTTACTGCCTGCGTTACAAGCTTCGTCTTGATGACTGATGTTAATAAATACGATGGCATTTATTTCCTTTCTTTACATTCTAAGTATCAATTGTACGAGTTTTGAAATTAAATTGAAAAAATTATTTTCTTAATTGCTAAGCCACATCCGGTTGCAATTATTTACATTCTCCTAATTTCTATGTCAATTAGTCTCGTAGTTAGTTTTAATTATATATTGTACATATAATCAAGGAGAATATTCCTCAGCCTAATTTTTTTTACAAGACTATCCCTCATGGATAAATTCTCTTCCTATCCTATATCCCACATCAGACACATGCATAATGTTGCCGCCAAACATCAAATGCAATTTCCGATTCCGAATCTTTCCCCAGAGAGACCCTCAAAAGTGCTTGAGTCATTGCAACAATCAAGTCCACAAAACGTGACGCTTACAACAAATCTAGGGATTGTATTTTTTTTTTGGGGGCTCTTCTAACCATCGTCATCATCATCAGTTTCTGAAGAAGTCAAAATGTAAAAAACTGAAAGAATGGTAGCAGAAAAATAAATAAGTAGAAAAGCGGCCGAGGGCATGTGTAACAAAACAGCAGAGAAGACAGACACAGACACAGACCGCATAGGCCAGCACAAAAAATTATAAAAAATACAGAAGAAAAACCAATTGTCAGAGATGGAATTTTTTGGATTCTTGAGAGTCATCATGGGGCCCAAAAGCAGCTTGGGAAATGAAAATGGAGATAGGGAATACTTATGGTCAGGTCGGAAGCCGACACACATTCCACAGAGCCACCAAAACCAACAACAACAAAATTTGTCACTTTAATAAGCGCATTTTGTTTCGGGGGTTTTTTTTTCGTTTCATTTTGCTACGGATTTTCGTTTTACTTTTGGTTTGGGTTTTTCGGATCACTTTTCTTGAGTTTTTCGGATCATTTTTCTTCGGTTTTCGTTTCACTTTTGGGGGGGAGGGACTTCGTTTCGCTTTGGTGTTTCTGTGTCTGTCAAGTGCATGATTTGAGGAAATTTTTGAGTCTGGCCACAAAGCTTCAGTCCGCTGCCCCTCTCAACCTTTGTCCCCTCGAATGTTGGAACGTGTTAAATTTATATGCAGTCGCTGATGCTGCTGCTTAAACGCTTTTGTTCAGCAGCAGAAGCAGCAGCAGGAGGTGGAATGCCTGCCTAATTTATGATTATTATTGTTTATGAATCCGTTCGCTCGTATAAACCTAATAGAGCCATCAATGAGCCATAAAAATGAGTCTGGCTTTGGGTCTGAAATGTCTGGTTCTGGTACATGTGACACGCCCAACTTTATAACTTTAACTTCAACTCCAAGTCCAAGTCCAGTGGCAGTGGCAGCCCCAGTCGTCTGTCTAGTCGATGTGGCGACGATGTCGACCGCGCGCGTTGATGAGAAAACAAAAGAGTAGTACGAATAGTAGTTTATTATCGACCATTAAGAGAGGATGATATATAACCCCTTCGTGCACTTAACTGAGCAAATGAAATGACAAATTTATAGCACAGAAATCATCATCACGGGGTAGCCAGCGTTTTTATATCAATTTGATGATAACTTAAAAAAATAGATGCATATATGTATATGCAGCCATCTTTTTGCATTTCTGTCTACATTTATGACCAGAAATCATTGGGAATAATCATTTTGATATCCAATTTCATGGGCAAATGAATGAAAAATACATAAAGAAATATATGTATATGTAGGTATATTTATGAAGAAATCATCAACCGATTTGCATACGCAATCTCTCTTAATGTTTCTACTTTTAATCTATAAATTTATTTTCTGGAAAGAAAAAGACCAATCGGTTGTAACGCATACGAATATTTATCGAATGAGTAAGAAATGAATGTGGGGGAATGAATGTGGGGAGTGTTTCATTTGTTAACATTGTTAATCATCACACACCTGATTAAGTAAGTGCCGATGACAAAGACTTAAGATTTCACCACTCCAAGGGCCTATGAATGGCATGTAAACTCATGTAATAATAACTGATAAGGAAGTGTGTCCCAGAGATAACCATTACAAGGGAAATTTTAGCTCCAAAGTGTTAAGGTTTAACCCTCTGATTCGATTTACAGAATACCAAGTATTTTCTTGCATTTAAATTATTAAATTATAGAAATTCTTCTATGAATTTTATCCCAAAAAATTCCATGACCATTATTCCTACAAATGAAAATGGAACGATAGAAATGAACAAAAGAGTTATCGACGCTTTAACTGGAACCCGTTGAACTGGGGAATACTTGGCAATGGTAGGCTGGTCCAAGCCGACTTGGAAATAGAACACTTTAGGCAAATCACCTGCCCTCCCCATTACAGTCCCCCCCCATCCATTTCCACCCGCTGAGCGCAGCTGACAAATGACAGTGTAAAATTCTCATTCTTTGAATGGAATTTGCATATTCTGCAGCTCTGCAGACAATGCCGGACAAATATTCCACACAAAACAAAAGCAAAACGAGGAAATGTTGGCGCTACGGAAGAAACCGAAGGCGAAGGCAGGCAGGCAGCAGCTCCAAAGGAAGTGCAGAGAAAATTGCCAACACTTGAGTGGAATTTTTAAAATGTCTCTAGTCCGGACAGGAGTCGAAGTCGAAGACGAAGAACTTTGAACAGCTGCAACAACAATCAATGGATGGGGTCTGACATTGATTTTTTGTGTGTGTTTTTGTGGGTCTCTTAGTCGTACTTCTCTCTCTGTGTGTGTCTCTGTGGGCCCCCTTAGTCACTCTTTTTGGCTCTTTTTTTGGCTGCATGAGTGAGTCATGACGATCCATTGAGAGAGGAGCCACATTTCATATGCAAAACCAACTAATTTTCGCTTGTAAAAATGCTTTCCGCTTTCATTAAGTAAATTTTGTTTTGTACTTTTCTGTCGACTCTGGATCCACTTGGGATCGTCTGTCTGTCTGTCGTACGGCATTGGCACCGGGGTCTGTCGTTTTATATTTTAGCGAATTAAAAGAAATTGCCTCATCCGACAGATTGTGTGGTGTTGTCTGTGGATCTGGAAATACTCGTAATGTGGATAGATGGCCTAGCTAACTAAAAAGATACTCGCGTACAGCGACAGATACAGATACATTTACAGAGTGTCTCTGGGATGAGTCATCTCATTTACTTACACAGATCTGTACAGATCTATAAGTGACAAGGTTGCCTGCTCTCTGTCGCTATCATTCGCTTCGCTATATTCAAGGGAAGGCTTTTGTTGGACAAAACTAGACAAATATTTACAAGCTCCCCGCCCCGCCACCATAAACCTACAATCTTTTGCCATGTCTTATCGAAGCTTTATCTGCTTCAAAATATTTGTGGAATTCTTTTTTCGCTATCTTTATGCTAATATTGTGAAAAGATTATTGGATTTCTGGTGCTGGAATCATGTACTTTAAGCTATTATTTTTCGCCTTTTTCTCAGTCTTACCCACGGTTTGTGGCTAGTCACACTCTTCCCCTCAACTCCACTCTAGACTTCAGACTTTTCATACTTTTTCGAATGGCAATTAGATATTCCTTTGACGTGGAGGCGGCTGTCTTTGTGGCAGGCAGCACGTGTCTCTGGGGCTGCACATCGGAAGGGCAGGGGCAGTGGCAACGTTTTGGGGACAGCGACAGCTGCGCCTGTTGCCAAGCGATGTTGCAGACAGGAAGCGCCACTAAACACACGCCCACGCCAAAAAAAAAAAGAGAGAGAGAGAAAGAGGAGATTGGCATACAAAAAAAAAAAAAAAAAAAAAAAATAAAAAGAAAAAGCGATCTATGACAAAAGATGGCATCATCCGTAGAGCAGAGGGACAGACAGTGGACAGTGGAGATGATGCGTAAACTAATCTCAAAAGTGTGCCCATTACCGGGAAAGGATCCCCACAGGATCGACAGAACAAACACAGCCTACATCCGGTATAGAAAAAAAAAAAAAAAAAACACAAGACAGGCATATGCCAAAAGATATCAAATTTAAATATAAACACAGTTAGGTAGAAGGTCTCTTAGAGAAGAAGGTAGCTGGGGCAGGGGTAGAGGGTAAAGAGCAGGAGATGGGAGGGTATGGGATGGGTAGACCACTCACCTGTCGTGTCCATATAAACAATCAATGTGGCAAAGACTGTCGCAAACGAGAGCAGGCACAGTGCAATGGGCAATAGCTGGCGATAGGGCGATGGACTCAGCCGTGGATCGAGCTTTTTGTTCTTGTTGCAGGATCCACCACTAGCTGCACCACTGGCCGCAGCTGCAGCACCACCTCCTCCTGCTCCTGCTGCTGCTGGACAACCCGCTGCGTTGGCATGATGATGATGGTGGTGATGGTGATGCTGACTGTGCTGGTGACGGTGTGAGTGCTGTCCCTGTTGTTGCGTTCGCGCTCGATACTCCCCAGCAGCCGTGGCTCCTCCCGCGGCTATGCATGCCCCCGAGCCTGCCACCTTTTGACAGCAATGGAGCTGCTGCAGTGGCTGTGGCAGCCGTGTGGGCGTCGACAGGGGCGAGGATACCGTACTGACCGACGGTGAGCTAATGACGCTACTCAAATCGCTCTCATCCGCTGCCGCTGCTGCTGCTCTACCTCCAACGTCATCTTCCAGCTGTGGATGGTGCTTGCTGCTGCTGGTGGTGCTGCTGTGTGGATGCCGCTTGTGCCGCTGCTGGACATGATCCGTCTCATCCGTGCCACAGTCTTTGGTGTTGTGTTGTCTAGTCTCCGTCTCCGTCTCATCGCGCTTCTGCCCAAAGTTCACCTCATCCACGTCCTCGCACTCGATGTCATCGTCATCATCGACGGCCGCATAATTTGTTCGCACGGGCAGCGTCTTCCTGCTGATCGCTTCCGGCGGACTACTGATGGCGGGTATCGTTGTTGTTGTTGCTGCTGTGGGCTGATGGACAGTGGTGCTTGGGGCACTGCCGCCTGCTGCACAGCTTCTGCTTATGGTGTACTTTTTGGGTGTGGCCTTGCCATGCCGCCTGCTCTGCGGCGCTGTGGATGATGATCGCTGCTGCTGCTGTTGCTGCTGGTGAGGATTACAGCTGCTGATCTCCTCCTGCTCGGCCTGCTGCAGCTGCTCCACGGCCAGCGCTGGATGTGCCGAGAACACTTGCTTGGACATCGTTTTGGTTTCTACTTTTTGTATGGGGGGGAGGGAATTGTCTCCTTCTTCTTCTTCTTTGTCTTCTCCTTTAGAGCCGCATCCTGGCCAGGCAGCGTTTCAACTGAAAGAGAGACAGAAAAGAGAATCCAATTAGTCTCGAAAAAAAACTAATTTCAAAGAGTGCATTGAACCAAGGAATGAGAATGAGAACGAGGAGCATGGAAGAAGACCCACACAGCATCCTTCATCTGGGGGGATATGTGTGATGCTTCTGTGGTGCTCTGCTCTCCTCCATATGTCTGTCTGGGGCAATCTTTTGTCTGCGTTTTAGTCCCTTCGTACCCACGCTTGACGCTGCTCCTTCTCCACCTTCTGCTCCTGCTGCTCCTGCTGCTGCTGTCTGCCTGCACACATTTTCATTTTTATGAATAGGCAAACACAACACACAACAACAAAAAACCATGAAGAGCCGAAGAACAGAACCCAAAAACGAACCCAAGAGCAAAAGTCGCTCCAAAAAGAAATTGAATACAAAACTCCACCACCTGTCAAAAATCGAGAGACTGCTGCCAGACAAAAGACACAGAGAGACAGAGAGACAGAGAGAGAGAGACACACACATATAGAGTGAGAGAGAGGGCGAGAACAGACTCTACCAGAGACAGCAGGGCAGGAGAGACAGAGTGCCAGAGAGAAGGCCAGAATGATTGCTAAAGAATTTCAACAACAACGCGAGGTATTTTGTGAACCAAATTAAAAAAGACACAACCAGAGCGAAAGAGAAGGAGTGTGTAACGATCAAGTGGTGTGAGTGAGAGAGAGCAGAGGCTGAACCTGAGAGAAGAGAGGGCGAGGAAGAGCAGAGCAGAGCCAGGCCCAAAGCGGGGGGGGTGAAAACTGCATTGCAGCAAGCCATGAGAATTATAAATGGAATACAAGAAACGTATAGCGGACTACCGCACCATTTAATACCCTAGCAGAGCGAATTGTTTACAAAATTTTGATTCAATTTAATGATTATTTGGTTATTGGATTGATTTTATTATAACTATATTATTCTGATCTTGGTTTCTTCCATATTCTTCCATTCCATATGGAGAGGACTTACACTGTCTTTATAAGCATTGACAAAAACCTGATCAAAATATTATTACTCTCCCTTTGCAAGGGTATCAAAAACGATTGAAGACGCTGCACAAAGAATTAAACAGAGAGCGACTGAGTGAGAGAGAGGGAGAGAAGATCGCAGAGAGGAAAGAGGCCGATCGTTGAATAGCAGAAGAGGAGAGCATTGCAGAGGGGGAGTGAGTGAGTGCCAGCCGTTTCATGTGCATGTGCATGTTCGTGTGTGAGTATTTGTGAGTGTACTCCACTGTAGTACTTGTGCGCCTGCGCAACAGACGAACGAAGCAGCAAAATAAGTAGAAGAGGAGGAGATGGAGAAGAAGAAGCCATGCTTTGTGCGGTGCAAGCGAGATGGCAAGCAAGTGGAATCGAGTTCATCAACTGGCAGGCAGCACAGGCAGCGGGCAGCAGATGTTTTTCCCAATGTTTGGCGGCTGTTGCCGCCTGTCTCTCCTGTCTCTCACTCTCAATGCATGCCCTTACCCTGCCTAAAGAGAATTGACAAATTAACAAGAGATTTGTGGTGTGGTGTGGTGTGGTGGAAAAAGGAGATCACAAGACGGCACTCGACAAGTATGCATGATCAGCAGACTATAATCTCTACCACAGAGAATCGGAAGAAAGAATAAATCTAGAGAATATATCAGGAATAAGTTTAGAAAATGATGCAAACTCAGAAGTTCAAACACATTTAACGTAACTTTTAGCCGTAAAACGTGAAACTTCATTGTTCAAAAAATAAAAAATCCCCACCCAAAATGTGGCTTGAGGATTCGGATTCGATTCATGGAAGAAAAAGCGTCCCTGGGCTAAGAATTTAATAAGATATCATTTAAATGCTAATGTTACATTTCTGCCTAGAAATAATCTTGAACAACAAACCTAAGAATTCTTTTAAATTATGAAACTATTAACCCTAGAATGGCATTGTTTTTCATTATTTTAATTTAATTAATTATATTCTCTTCCAGCATTATTTTTCAAATCAATATGTCGAAAGAGTATTCCAACTTTCAGTTACGCCTAAGTTCGATATCGCTTGTAATTTTTTTTCCCTTTGTGTAGTTTTTGCTTTATGAACCATAACGTCTTCTGGTTTACCCTCCTCCACCATATCATATCCATATCTATCCATATCGCTGCTGCTGCCTGCCTGCCTCTTGGGCTCCTTTTGCGCTAAGGGCAAGGCTGCTGCTGCTGCTGTTGCAGCAACAGATCGCTGACCATTCTACGTGTCCGTCTCCGTCTCTGGGTTGCACATTGTGGGGAGATGCCGCAGGGCATTCGCGCATTCATTAGCCATTACGCGTGCTCCCAGTTCTCAGATTCTCAGATTCCCTCCACCGCAACCCCTCTCTCTCTCTCTCTCTCACTCTTCTCAGGAGTTGGGATATGTTTTGTATGTTTTGATTTGCTTGGAATTTATTGAAACATATCCCAAGCAAAGCTGGGCCTTCAGAGACAGCCGAGAACCTGTGATTAAATGCCCTGCTGCTGTTGCTTTAATGATACTTCGTACCCCTCTTCAATCTCCCCCCCTGCTTTTAAGTGCGTTCTTTAAACGATATGGTTCTTGGAATGTGATCATCCAGGCAAAGAGGAGGCATCTAAAATGGAACCCCATCTTAAAGATAACTCTTGCCCGCTGCTTCGGCTTCTTCTTGTTGCAATTGTTAATTCTGGCATGTGGCTTGCCACTCAAAGCCTCTGCTTTTGAGGGGTGCGTCCCATTTAATCGATATCCATTTTTATGGCAGGGTTGCTATTAACCAATTAGAAGATTTTTTTTTTTTGGACAGAATACAAATTAAATCAAAATTTAATGGATCTACAGATTTTTCAAAGTATTTTTTAGACTTTTCAGAGTAACTATTTGCTTATTGAACTTCCAAAGTGTAACACAAGATTTAAGCTATTTTTATTCCATTCCACCGTTCCATTAACAGCATATGTATCCGTTCGCTTATGGAACATTTTTACAGCAGCATTCCATATGGTGTATTACAGTGCCTTAACAGATTATTTTAATTTATGTTCCGATTCGACAGTTCCATTAACAGTTCGCTTATTGAACTTCCAAAGTGTAACACTTCCTTAGCTTTCCTTTCGAGCTTTCATTTATTTTGCATTTATTTTTTTACAGCAGCATTTGTATGGTTCCTTAAGAGATTATTTGAATTTATGTTCCATTCCGTAGTGCCATTAGCAGCGGATGTATCCATTCGCTTATGAAAATTTCGTACATCGAATGCACCTTGGACCAATCAGAAGTATTCAAGCTGTTCTGCTGTCCCTTCATCATTGCCATTACCAACATTCATATAATTTTACCATATTTTTCTTGCCACCAATTCTCATATCTTATTCCCCAAAAATGAGTTTCCCACATGGCTTAAACTTTAAATCGCATTCTCTACACTTTCTGGCAAATAATTTTGATGATGGCAAACAATTGTAAGCCCTACCCATTGGGAACATTCGGAACAATTAAGATGCATTGGCGCACAGACAGCAGAAGAGACGGCCCGACCAGGCCAGGCAAAGTTTATTGAAGAGTTTAATGTGCTTTTGATTCAGTAATTAGCTGGAGATGCCATTTGATTTGTGGTGTGCGTATATAAAGCGCCATGAAATCGAAATACAAGAGATACAAAGAGGTTGGGGGGGAAGAGGCGAGCTGCTATAGATAAAGTATCTTGTGGATGCGTCTGCATCTCTGCGTCTGGCGTGTGATTTACGGCTTGTCGCACAGCGCATGAAATCGATCGATTATAAAAAAAGAGAAAAAGAAAAAAAATATATACAATATAAAATCAGAGGAAGCCGACAAGCGCACGGATGTGTATCTTTGCATCTATATATCTGTATCTCTGTATCTGTAGATGTATCTGTTTCTGGCACTGTAGCTATATCTTGTGTGTGCGCTTTCATTGATGCTGCGCCCCTCTTTTTACCCCCTTTCTTTTGTGTCTGCTTGCTGTCTGGGAAATTGTTCACTTGGCAACAGCATCCCCCCCACCACCACAGCATCTCATCATCATGGGCAGCAGCAGCAGAGGAACCTCCAGGGCGGCGCCAACTCCTCAGAGGTCACCAAAAACAATTTTTGGAGCAAAAGCAGCGTCTTCGCGTTCGCTGTAGCGAGGTAGGAGGAGGTGTAGGCCCCGCCAATTTTCAGCACATTTCTGTGGCGCAGGCCAATTTCCAAGAAAAGCAAAAGGAGAGGTAAGGCCCCCTCAGAGGTGGGGGCACGAACCGAATGGCAGCAGTGGAGGAACCAGCGAGCGAGAACATGCCACAATAATGTTTTGCGGTTAATGATCGTAAAATGCGATGAACGTAGAAAATGTAACAAAAAGTAACAACAACAAAACAGAAAAACAAAAACAAATACAACAAGAGAGAGAGAGAGAGGAAATCTCTAACGAGTGCTAGAGTAGAGTGTTGCGACTATGGGAATGCCCTTTATAAACAGAAAAATATTGGAACCCTGCTGGTCTATCGATGATCGACTGGGTGTGTCACAGTTGAGACTTATTCAAGAAAAAACTTTCCTAATCAAAGTAAAAGAAAACAAGAATCTAATGAAGGTGATTTTTCTTAGGCTTTTTAAAATACAAAATTATCCAATTTTAATGGTTTCTGGTATTTAGTTAAATAATTTCCCTGCTTAAAGCTATGAAAAAAAAATAAATTATAAATAAATTCTACTTCAAAAAGTTGATTTTTTCTCAAAGTCTCTATCCAGAAATTTTCTTGGAATTTATATAGTTTATGGTACAGAAATACCAAAATACCTTCTTCTACCCTCTATAAAAAAAGAGATAGAGAGAGAGAGAGAGAGTGAATGAGAGGCATAGCAAGGAAGGGCGAACGGCACAAGACATTTTGATAAAACATTTACAAACGCACTGAAGCATAACTCCATCATCCATCTCGAACCACCACACAGCGACGCGACCGGTACAACAGAACTACAGAACCACAGTAGAAAAC